CTGAACCACTGTGCCTCTCTTCCTGTTTTGTGTGTGTGCAGTGCATCCACGTGTCTGCCCAGCAGTCTGACTTTGTAGTCCTTGAATTGTGCTCTCAAGTCAAATTGCTGGTTTACAATCCTCCCCCATTATTGTTTGCATCATCCATTACTGATTTACTGACCTGCTAAAATCCACAGGTATGCGTATCCTGGTGAACCTGCTGCTAGACACGTTACCCATGCTGGGCAATGTGCTGCTGCTCTGCTTCTTCGTCTTCTTCATCTTTGGTATCATCGGGGTGCAGCTGTGGGCAGGGCTACTGAGGAACCGCTGCTACCTGGAGGAGAACTTCACCCTGTGAGTCAAACACTGTGCATCAGTGTGTACAGTTAATGTGTTCATGCATTGTGTCTAAGAGGTCATTTGACCCCTTTAACATGGATTCTATACAAGATTAGGTTTGTACATTATACTTTGTATGCAGCAAAAGTATGTACTGTATATACCTGATCAGTATTACTAAAAGGTTAATTACAAATCCTGTGCATTAACTGCACTACAGTTTTTTGTTTTAGCCAAAGCTAAATGAATGAAGCCAGACATGTTTGACTGTGGAGAGATGTTTTTTTTTAGCCACAAAGGTGCTGCTGCTCTACCTTCCATTTTTAAATACCTTTGCAGTGTGTTTGGGATCATTGTCATGTTGGAAAATCCCTCTCCTGCCAAGCTTCTTGATATGGATATGGATTCTTTTCTTTGGTTTGGTTTTATCTTTCAATGGTTGTCCAATATAGTTAATGCCACATTTTCCACAAATAATTTTTGTGCCAGTTCAGAGGCTTTTCTGTTTTAATGACGCATGATGTCATTTTTCAAGGACGGCTACTGTGCCTTCTGATATTTGCAGTGTGGCTCTATACAGTGTCTCCTACCCACTGCTGCAGCTTTGGGCTTATGTTCAGTGATCCTCTTGGACCCTCTTCATTATACGGCTGATCAAATACCCTTCACTTTAACTTAAAACTAATACGTTCCTCTTTCCATCTCTCTGAAGCTTCAAAGCAACAGTAACATTACTTTTATTTTTAGTTTGCAACTAAGAAAGAGATTTTATTCCAGCTGCATGTCTCCATATTCATGACCCTACATGACAGCATCACCTACTGTGTGTGAGTGACATTCGCCAGGATTTAGGAGTGTTTGATCTCATGGCATTCTCTCTATTTCCTTTTTCATGCTGGCATCAAATCACTTGAAAAACACATGCCCCTGATGTGTATGTTCTAAGCCCTGTAAACTCCTCTGTCAAAAGGGGAGGCGTGTCTGCCAGCTATTACTGTTCTGCCTGCTTACAGTTGAGAGCCGACGTTTAGTTTAACAGCCTCTACACTTTATCTTCACTGCACTAAAGGGTTGTATAGTAATAATTAGCGGGACCAACAGGACACTTGAGGCATCATGAGGATCTCCAGACAACCACAATGTTTTAGTCCAGCTTTAAAAAACAATTTTCTTTCAATATTCTGCTGGATTCCCATTTAACTCCCACACATTTGCTGATTAATGCAGCAGCAGATTTTTAGCAATGATCTCACGCTGAACTGAGTGTTGCTTATTATTTAAGCAAAGTATTATTTTTGCATATTATTTTAAGGCATTATGGTGGCATATTGTGCAGGTTAGTCAGGGTGCCTGAGTGCTTAATTAAGAAAGGTCCTAGTGGGTTGCTGCCTGACAACTATTATGCTAAGTAAAGGGCTAATGTTAGCTCTCTGAGAGGTTATAATGGAGTGGGCTGAGTGTTGCAGTCAAGTGCAGCATTCACTTTGCTATTTTACACCCTCCCTCTTTTGATCTCTACCTTTCTGTTTTCCTGCCTTATTCTCGCCTTCGTGCCTTATTCTTTTTTTCCCCGAGTGACCAATTAGCCTGCTCGCTCTTTGTGGTCCCTTACTGCCCCATTACAAAATATATCCTGTACAAACAGCCTCAGAGAGCAGGCCAATGGCACATCAGAAGACATTTATATTGTAAAGAGGGGTTTGTCCTGTTCCCTTTCATAGAGACCATGAATGTTGACTCTCCTCCTTAGTCTCTCTTAATGTGTATATTTTAATATGTTGTGTCTTACTTTCTGTTGTGCTTTATCAAGCACATCTTTCCTTTCCAGCTCTCCCATGGTCTTACGTAATACCCCTTCTGTAAATTCTTTCCTGTCTCTGCTGCTTCATCGCCTTGATCCTTCCCTCTGTCTCACTCTCTGTTGGCAGGTGTGTTCTCAGTGTGATTCCAGGTTTTGGCTGTGCAATGCCAAGTGACCTGCAGGGTGGCAGCAGCATTCATTCATGCCTCACTACTCTTAGAAGGGCAGTTTTTCTCCGTTTCTTCTTATTTTTTTCTCTCTCTTTGTCTCTTAAGTTTATATCCCTTTCTCCACTTTAGTGCCATAAAGTGCCAGTTTGGATACCACTGACAATTCTTTTTGAAGTTCATCTCTGTTGTCACTGCCCATTGTCCTCCATTGGTTTGCATAAACTCTACTGGACTGTAAGTCATAGTAAGCTCAGTGTGTCTCAGTGCACACCTGCGAACTTGTAGTACCACAGAATCAATGTATGGTTTCTGAGCTACTCTCAGAGGGAAGTGGTACGGCTTGATACGGCCACTGCTGCTATCGATCCTGGAATTATTGTGCATGTGTGTGTGTGTTGTGTGGTTTGCGGTCAAGGTAAAAAGGAGGATATCTATTACTATATATGTACGCAGTATCTATCTCACTATTGACTACAGAGAGACTGGAAAGAGAAAGGCGAAGCAAGAGAGAAAAAGAGGACAAACTATAAAAAGGAAAAGATAAATGCAAGAGCTTAAAGCAGGAGTAAAATGTGTTCAGGTGTTAAATGCACTGTAATGCAAGGTTGTGTTCCATGTATCTTGAGGTGTAGGCCAGTATATCAGGGTAAGCAGCAGGGTGAAGCTTGTGTAATTAGGCAGGTTTCTGCATTACATATGATTTTCCTCCAGCCAGTCTTTTCCTGATAAGCCTCTCCCTGTGTGGGGAAAAAAGGTATGTGAGAGGAAACTGATATGTGCAATGATAGAGCAAACATCTTTGAGAAAAAGAGCAACAGAGAGACAGCAAAAGGAGGGCTGAAGTGACAGACAGCGATGAGTAAATACTGTAGGTCGTGTGACCCTCAATGTGTATGTTCAGTAATGGGCCTGTTGATGGAGAGGGTTTATTTTTGTCTTCCCCAGGCCCAAACCTTGGTATGAGCATCCACACCCTGCCCTCATTTACTCCACAGTCATGTTAGATCACACACGCATACACAGACCAGGACTTTAGGTCTGGCTGTGTTTTTCTTCACTTTCCAACACCCTTTTTACTTTTTCCCCTACATTTTGCATTGATTTTTGGTTATTTTTGTTCTCTTGCTATTATTTCTCTCTCATGTATTTCAGCAGCAGTTTTCCACAACCTCATTTGAGCACATGCGTTACTACACCAATACTAGCCAATACATCCACCAAAAAGATCATTTTAGTCCCCAGGTGGACATGAAGTGACAGACAGACTCTTTGCTTCCATTTAAAAGGAGCTGTATAGCAGACATCTCAGGAAATCATGATGCAATTCAGGTGGTGGTAATCAGTTAGATCCTGATTTTAGAGATAATTAAGTGTGGCAGGAATGGGCCAAAGACACTGCTCACTGATGAGGGGTGCGCACAGGGATTTCAATTAAGGCGTATGTATGCAGAAGGTGTACTTGAGAGTGTAATCTGTTTTTCTGCTGATTTCATGCTAAGACACACACACACTCACACACACAATCTTGCATACACTTTCCACATGACTTAGTTTACATGATTAAACAATCTGTTGTCTGGTGCTAAACACATTCATCTCTGATGAGGTGCTTGTCACTTAGCTTAGTAAATATATTTGCATTTTGTTTTCTCTGTATCTTTCGTTATACAGTTGCTTCTGTATCAGGAAATTCCACAAAGATCCTGACGTACTTATGACTAGTAGTATACTGTATATATGAACAGGGAACTGCCTGCTTTTTCTCAGAATAAGAACACGATGATGAGATTACAATAGATACAGTATGTTCGTGTAGGATCATTTGTAATTTCCTATTCACCTGCTTTTCATTGATGCTTTTATTCCACAGGCTTGGTCGATTTCTTCTGGGGATTTGCATGAACACACTATATAACGTCTCCTGTTTCTCTTTCTACCTTCTTGCTCCCTCTTAACATTTGTCTTTCATTGAAATTATGCATTCTACACCATAACCAGCTGACTTAGGTTCTTACTTGTCCCCACTCCAGCTCTTCAGGTATGACCCCACCGGCACCGTACTACCGGCCCGAGGAGGGCGATGAACGTCCCTTCATTTGCTCCTTGCCGTCTGATAACGGTATCATGTCATGTTCTGATGTGCCGGCGAGGCGCGAGGGAGGCCGCACGTGCTGCCTGGACAAAGAGGACGCGCTCCACAGACAGGCTCTTGGCCTGAGTCCTGAGCCGCTGTTCAATGGCAGCGGTGCTGGTGAGGCAGTGGGTCTATGCATCAACTGGAACCAGTACTACACCCGCTGTCATACAGGGAATGTTAACCCCCACAAAGGTGCCATCAATTTTGACAACATCGTCTACGCCTGGATTGTCATTTTTCAGGTATGTTTGATATGCTGGGGAGAGAACGGTGAGGTTGTTAATATGATCAACACATTATAAATAGATATTTTTAAATTCTGAACTTATTATAAAATGAAGTTGCCTTCATTTAATCACTTATTATATTACCAAGACTGAGTGAATTCAGAACAGTGCATTGGATTCAAACATGTGATATGAACTATACTGCACTAGTACAATAAACGGTTTCATAAAGTCCATAAACATTAACAGTCAGTCCTACTGTACCTTCATCCTAGGTGATCACTCTGGAGGGCTGGGTAGAGATCATGTATTATGTGATGGATGCCCACTCCTTCTACAACTTCATCTACTTCATCTTACTCATCATTGTAAGTAACATTTATTAGCACATTGTTTAAATGATTAGTACTCTACATTCCAACTTAGCTGGCGAATCCATGTGTGTTTAATCAAGTGTAACTGTAGTTAAATACTCTGGAGATGAAAATCTGAACTGTTGAACTGTTTCAGTTTGGAATAACCTGCATATATTAATGAATATATGATCAAATATGCACCTAAATTGTAACAAAGAACAATCTTTGTAGCTATTGACACACAAATCTGTGTATTTTTCTTGTTCATATTGAATGCATCGCAAAATAAACACAAGCTAACTGGATTCAGGAGTTAGCAAACCTGGGGTCCGGTCAATGAAACAAGGTTGGAGGTGCAGATTAATGTAGATATTCATCAGTCCACATTTAAACTCCTCCTATCAATAAAAATGACTGGTGATAGTTCTTGAGTAGGGGATTGAAGTATTAATAGCCTTGTGAACATCAGTAATAGCATAAGGCACTGTCCACAATCAGAGTCTGAAGGAGAGACGGAAGGAGGCAGAAGTGTTATGTAAATGTATCTTGTGCAGTCAGTCAGGAAAAAGGGAGAGAAGAGGAGGAAGAGCAGCCGAAAAAAACTAGAAAATATATGTCCAAAAAAGTGTGTGCAAAAGCTTCATCAGCTTTTTGCATACCGTGCCACATGCCCACACAATGAAGGTTGTTTAATTCTGCATTCAGACGCCACTGCCTGTCTGTAAAAACGGCATTTAGTCGTCCTGCGGAGCAGCAGATATACTATTGAAGTCCCAGATGATGCACTTTTCCCATCAGCAGGTGAATACAATAGGCAATAGACACACAGGCTTTTGTAAAGCTTGAAAATGAGATCACGAGAACAAGAGGAGATGAGAGAAAGTAAAGGGGGTAAATGAATAAAGAGGAACACACCCCCTCAAGTGCACACTGCAGTGTTTTGCACTAAACTGTAAGGAGAGGGAGCAAAATGTAAGAGTGCAAGACCGGTCATACAAAACTGTTTTTACTGTGGCCACCAACACTGGCCTTTTGTCACTGCGGTGATCATCGGCGCTTTGACTCCAGATGCAAATTTCAACCTGTTTTTGGCAGATGTGATCTGAGGTTGGCATTGCCAGCCAGTGTAAGCACCTTTTGACACCTATAGCTGACGTGTTGTTGTGTTACACTGTAATCACTTGCCTCATTTGTGCTGCATCAGTGATCACAGTCCCATGTAAATTGTACAGCCCTGTAAACTGTTGCCCAGCAGAGGACACATGCAGTATTGAACTGATGATGAGCCTCAAACTGATCTGAAGTCAAATTTCATGTTCCAGTACAAGTGTTGCAGTTAGACTGAGATCTAACTAAAATGTTTAAACTTCATTATACAGAGCTCAGTGACTTGAAAAGACAAGCACATTTCTCCCTCTGTGGACAGGGGTTGATTGACATGTGCCGTCCCTTCTGAGGTTCTTGGCGAGGATCCAGGCTGTTTGGTAGCTTGTAGTCAGAGGACCTAAGGGATGCTTTAGAAGTGTTGCTGACACTATGAGAAGCTTTGGGTCAGAACTTTGATGGGGCCCTAAGGTGCTTTTCACACAATCAGAGTCACCTTGACTCTCTTATCTTTCCTTTTGCATTCCCCTCGCTTGTTCTCTTTCACCTAATTCCTGTGTGTGTGTGCGTGCGCTTGTTCTCTTTCACCTAATTCCTGTGCGTGTGTGTGTGTGTGATTGTGTGTGCGTGTGGGATGGTATTACTCGTGTTGTGGGGATATAAATCTGTGTTCCGGTCACACTGTGGGGACTCAATGTCCTCATGGGGACAAAAACAAGTCCCCAAGATGTAAATCATTACATTTTAGTTGTATTAATTTTAGTGATGGCATGATTTGCAGTTAGGGTGAGACTAGGGTTAGGTTAGGGTAAGTCTCCAGGAAATGAATGCAAGTCAGCCTAATGTCCCCTGAAACAATGGAAACATGATTCTGTGTTTGTGTGTTGCGTCATTATTAAATTGCAGTGCTGTGATCCCGCAAATGTGTGTTCTCACATCTAAAAGTCAGACACAAAGAGAGAGGTTTGACCTCCACAGTGTCAAACAGTCTCATCTCTGATTGATACTTGATATACTGTCAAGTGTGTAACCTAAGTGTCTATATTGGTGTCACATTGAAGAGTGGGAGTAAAAGGATTAAAGTGTTTTAGAACTAAGTGCTACCAAGAGGGAAATAATCAGGAGATTGTGTGCGTGTGTGTGTTCCAGAAGGGGGAGAATTTGTATACACACAAATATATGTGACAGCTGCTGCATGGAAACATAGAGACACACGCAATCACTTGTAAGCTGAGCCTGCCATCTTAATTTGTGTGTCTGTGTGTGTGATTGCACATGCTTATGTCAGTGTGAACGTGTATGTGTGTGGGGGTTTGCCTGAATGCATAATGCAGTGATCATCTGAATGCGTGATGTTGGTCTGCCCCCTCCCCCCACCAACACACCCCTCAGCCCCATTTATGTGCAAAGGTGTCCTGTCCACTGATCTGCATTACAGAAAAGACACACGCACACACAGATGCAAGCCTGAAGGGAAATCAAAGCTCCACACACCTGCAGACCTGCTTTGACCCGCGGGCCACAGATGGGCATCACTCCACCCTCTCTCCACACACACACGTCCCTTCCACTTGTGTTTCCTCTCTCTTTCTCGCTGTGTGAATATCTCTGGATATTTCTCATTCCTACCAGCTTCTCCTGTCTCTCCTTCACTTTGCCCTGTGCCTTTGATCACTGTGGATGAAAGTCTATATGTAGATGTCATTAAGTTGGGATCTTTATATCTCTGGATATTTTATTGAGTGTTCCTGAAATGTAATGTCCACCTATAAGGGTTCCTGTGCAGGTTCACACTCTGTCTGAGAGATTTGTCCTTGGAGAACAAGGGATGCAAGTTCAATTTTCTAATGAATAAAATTGAGACACTGCTATATCCACCCAGCAGTTTTGTCTTGGAGCTGCTCAGCATTAGATATAATCATTGTTCTGTAACTAGCTCAGGATAATAAAATAAAAGTCATTTCAGCAGCCTTGTAGTCATTCCCATTACTGTCACTAAAATGATCATGTACCATTCACAGTGCACCCCATCGCTTCTCCGCAGCCATCCCTCTAACGCTCCCTTTGACTTAGGATAAGAGACTGGAAGTTCTTCTGAAAAACAGTAAAAACTGGAGTCACTGATGAGTGAAGAGCTGTTCAGGAGAAGTGATGTGGAGCATTGGCATAAGAAAAGTAAAGAAGCATCCTGAGTTGGAGGGGGAGTGGAAGGGGAAGTTAAGTCAAGTCAGAGAATAAAAAGAAGAGAAAGGGAAAACCACACACTGAACTGTGCTCCGGGCATGTGTTGGCTCTGCCTGTCTGCTCCAATCAGTCTTGATATGGCGGGAAGCCTGCCCTCAGACACCTTCAGCAAGTGTACTACCATTTCTACAGGGGGGAATTGGTACACATTATTAGAATCCGTGAGCATGTGAGCTTGATGAAGCACAAGTCTTTATTTACCATGGAACATTCCAATTTTTTCACCAATTTCATGTTTCTTAAATGAACAACGTCTGCTTTAGCCAAAGGCTGATTATTTATATTTGACACTGCACTGGAGCTTATTGTGTTATCTAGGGTTGCTTCTCTGTTAAGTTTTTTAATATCTTTATTTCTGCACGCACTCGTTGCCACCTTTCTTTTTCACAGAACTATTTATTCTTTGGGCTGGTGCCAGAAGCTGCTCACACTCCCCACAGTAGTTTTCCGTCAACTGCACTAGCTTTATTTAACGTGTAAGTTAACTCGCCCAACAGGTTTCACAAAGTCTAGCTTTCTGAACAAGTTTCTGTTGTTCCACATCCATCCAGATTGGTTCCTTCTTCATGATCAACCTGTGCCTGGTGGTTATCGCCACCCAGTTCTCAGAGACCAAACAGCGGGAACACCAACTGATGCAGGAGCAAAGGGCACAATGCCTGTCTTCCTCCACCCTGGCCAGCATGACTGAACCAGGGGATTGCTATGAGGAGATCTTCCAGCTGGTCTGCCACGTCATCCGCAAGGCAAAGAGGAGATCGGCAGCTCTGTACTACACACTGAGGGGCAAGCCCCCACCAGCTGGTGGAGGCAGGGGTAACAGACGTGGTGGAGGGAATGTGAACAGAGAGCGGCACAACTCAAGGCACCCACAATGTGAGTAGGACAGCTTCATAAAATGACATTTGAATAAGTCTTGCTTTAGTTACTTGAAAAAACCTCCTCACCACCTGAATGCTAGATGGTAAATTAAAGAAGATATGATCTGGCGAGAAACTGGGACTGACTATGCATATGGCTGCTTTTTAACAGCTGTGATTTAAAGATAATTAACTGTGCTTACGCTTAGCAAGATGAAGCTCAAACTGCCCAAAAAGTACCGTATATTTGGTTTGTCTTCTCATTATACTTTTCTGTGTTTAAAGCTTTATTTATTATAGACTAATTTCTGTGGTAGGGAAGAGGATTAGGACCACTATGGGTTAAAAGTAATCTTTAAAGTCAAAATTCTGAGTTTAAATTCAGGATTCATATAGATTTTTTACAGTGGCCCTAATCCTCCTCTGTCTCATGGTCCCTGAAATTGTATTATCAAGACAAATGTTTGCAACTGTTGCAAATACCTGCATTTAAAAAGAACATCTGACTCTGAATTTTAACTGCATCCATATTCTCATAGTCTTTCTATTCCCATCTCTAGCATCACACTGTCCACACCAAAGTAAGCAAGACCATAGCTCTCAGCCACTAGCCAACTCCATCAGTCTGTCTGTCCCTCAAAATCCTGAGGACTGTCCTATATGTGCAATGTCACTGAAAGAGGGAGTGAGGGCTGTGGAAGACTCTGGCAACGGAGAGGAAGATGAGGAGGATGCTGTGAAGGAGACATCCAAGGAGGAGAACCACTTAGAAGAAAGGGCGGATGGGGAGAGGAAGAGGAGGAGGACGTGCTTTGGGCATTGTAAGGACATTTGGAATGATATAAGGAGGAAGCTTTGGGGCATTGTGGAGAGCAAGTACTTCAGCAGGGGCATTATGATCGCCATTCTCATCAACACCATCAGTATGGGCATCGAACATCATAACCAGGTAAGATGTTATGATCATTGCTGTCACATAACCATTGTTTTCTCATATTTAAAAATATGTTTGATCCAATTTGAGTTTTCACACCTGCTCCCTCCTACTCACTGTCTTAATTTGCTGTTGCTGTCGTGCGCTGCAGTCTCAACACTTCCTCCATGTGTTTCACATTAAAAGCATACCAGTGATTCAGAGGCCGTGATCTTTGTGGTTTTATTGTGACATTTCTGCAGAGAGTGTTGTGTTTCATTGAAGTCAGGATCAAGAGCAGCAGTTCATTTTTTCACTGTATCACCCCTAACACATGAAATAAGTGTATCTTATTGGGAAGCCTCTTTGCTGCTGTGTGAGTGTGCAGACAGTTTTTCTATGTCTGGGACATGTGTGTGGCTGCTTTTGCCACCAGGTCTTTACTGGGGACTTCTATAGTGAATATCTTTGGAACTGGTAGACACAGTAGTCCTTCACTGTAAGAATATGCATTGCCTTTAATCCTCTAGACTTTAGTGCCCAGCATGAACGACTGAGCATTTTCTACTGGTATCTACTGCAGTAGAGTTTACACTGAGCATACTGCCTCCAGAAACTATCCATATGCTCACATTAACCACACGAGCCATATGCTTACCGAACTAGCTGTCAGCGATTTTAATGAAAGAATTACATCCCTAAAGTGTCTTAAAAACTCATTTGAGTGCTGTGTGCCATTCATCTTGCTTTAAGCAGTTCAGGTCCTAGACTAGACTAGATCTCCGCACAGAAGGGCATTGGGTTGGCTGGGGCTCAAACACAGAACGTTCTTGCTGTGAGGTGACAGTGCTAACCACTGATCCGCTGCCCCCACATTTAGTAGCTTCTAGAGTTAATACTTGTTAAACATTTTGTTACTATCACCAGGTTAGTTCTTACTGTATCTGCTACTGTCATAATACGACATATGAGGTGGTATATTTTTACTTATGTACTGTAAAAGTGATGCACACTGAGCATAAAAACTATTATCACACTAAGTAAAGCCACTTTTTGGTTTCTTAAGTTATCAGCTATGCTGTGAGTAGCTGATAGATTAATATGTTGTGTGGATAATGGTGCATATTGTTTAATAGCTGCACACAGATATACAGAAGAATGGTAACACTCAGACATGCTGTCACTATTAGACAGAGATAATCTAGTGTCAATAGAGTGTGTTAGCGTAATTATTTTTCACTCTCCGCAAACAAATCACAAATCTCCACAGCCTCAGAAGATAAACCGCAGTCGTTCATGATAAAGCACTGCTGCTAGAAATATCATAATAACAGATGACATTCAGAAGGATGAGTGTAGGATGGAGCATCACTGCCATGCAGTTTTCTGACCGGGGGTGTAAACATTTAGCCTAGTGGTAGATAAAACCGAGCTGGCTCCATTGGCCAGGCTCCTCAGAGGCAGACAAGGCAGGTGTTTGAGAGCGAGAGTGGGAGAAGCCTGCCAAGACTACGCATGCTAATATTCATTTGTGTCCAGTGTGTGTATGCACATAAAAAAAAAATACCCACCAGGAACGCATGTCGGCACATACACTCACAAGCTGTTACGTAAAACAGCTTTTTCCCCTTCATCTCTCTCTCAACCAGTGCCATTCTGTTTTCTCTCTTCACGTTCCCCTCCTTCTCTCTTCTACCCTCTCCTTTGCTGCTATTGCTTCCACTTCTTTCCCCTTATTTTTTCTATAAATTCCTCTGTGCCCCTTTACTTTGCACATTTTCCAACCTGTTCCTTTGTTCCTCATTGTCTTCCTTCCTTCTGTCCTTCCCTTTTTATCTTGTTTCTCATCTGCTCTGACTGTCTTACCTTGCTCAGTCTCATCCACTGCCTCTCTCTCTCTCTCTCTCTCTCTCTCCCTCTCATCCACCCACTGACTCTTTGACAGTGTACAGTGTAGGTGTGTTCTCTCATCTCTGAAAACTAAAAATAAATGACGGTTGTAGGGGGAGATGAGCGAGAGGGGAAGAGAAACGCAGACGCCGATTACACAGCAGTTTTCAGCTCACTTCCCTGTGTGATTCTGTGTGTGCGAGTCTGGGTGTTCTAAATAGGTGTGTATGCAGAAACACACACACACTCACAGTCACTTCATCTGTCTGTCTTTCTACCTTCACAATTTCCACAGGTTGATACAGAAGCAGTGATACAAGTGTGTGTTTGTGCTGTGCCATCGAAAGCCTCACCTCAGTGATTGTGTTCCAAGAAGGCTGAAGCTGTTTTACATCAGGCACATTTTCATATAAAAATGCTACATTTTCTATATAGGTATGATGTTACAATTTTTGATTGGAAACTTTGATGATCCAGGATCATTTTTTTTCATATTTATGTTGCATTTTACTTCATGAAATGATGTTGCACTTTAGCAAGTTTAAAGATGAGCTGCCTGTTTGTATTCATTTTATGTATGTGCATGTCTGGACACGAACATGTGTGGAAATTAAATTGGCACATTGGAATTCAAGCTCGAAAATAGTTCATTCATTCATATTCAAGCAACATTCACACGCTGACTCACAGCACATTTCACGAGAGAAACGAAGAACGGACATTTGTATGGTTGGATAAAATATGAAATATTATTCAGGAGATGGATAATCAAGGCACAGCTGGAAAGAAACATGGGAGAACAGAGGTACAAGAATGTGAGGGGAAAATGGTTTGGGAATGAGGCAAGAAGAAGGAAAGCAGAGAGGAAGGACAGGGGAGGAATGATAGTCTGAGTTGATCTGTGATGTCAGTGGATGTGATGGTTCTGTCAGTAGCAGTATATCTCATACCCTGTGCTTGTTTTTGGACTACGGAGGAGTTCTAGACATCGGTCAAGGCTAGAGTCTGTGAGTCTGTGTACGTTCATTCCCTATTCCCTTTTATAACTCATTTAGTAGCTGTTAGTATCTCTTGATACTTATTTTTGACATTTGGATTTCATCATCAGCCAAGCCACTCTGTATTCCACCGATTGATCCACATTCCAGCTCCCAAGCTCAAATGAGTCTCAGTAGATTTACCAGACTAAAACAATCTTGTTAAACCGAGCTCATGAGGTTTAGGCTGGTTCAATAAGCTTATTTCCTTTCTGTCCCTTTTTATCATTCGTGCTCTTCTTCACCTCTAATTGAGTGTTGTTCTCTTCTTTTTTCCTCCACAATGTCTTCATACTCCCAGACAATCTGCTTTCTCCTCTTTTCCCTCTCCTCCTGCCAGGTTCTTCCTCTCCTCCTTGTGATCGACAGGAGGATATTGATTGGGAAAAGATGGGCCTCCCTGATAATGAGACACTGAATAAGAAAGATAAAGGGATGGAGAACTAGGGGGATAGAATAGATTGGAAGAGAAAGCGGATTAGAGGATGGCAGGGCTGAAAGTGTGTTTTTCTCTGACATGGTTAGGCAGGTTTGGCAGGGCTAGCTGGCTTTTTCTCTGCTGGTTTTAAAACTGAAATTCACAGGGGGTATCAGGCAAAGTGTCTGATCCTTATCATGCATAACACACATTCAGACAGACACACAAAGTATACTTGCATAAAGTGAGTCTGCTTTTATACTCGTACGTACAAATGGAAAAATACAGGACTTCCTGGAGCATATGGGGATGTGATTTTGTTTTTGTTTTTGTTTCTATGCATTCCTTTGTTAATTCCAGATAATGAGTCAGCCATCGTTTGATTCTATGTGCTGCACAGACAATACACAATCGCCATTATATTTAAAAATTTTCTTTGTGTATTTAACTTAAACAGCCAGTAGTTTTTTCTATTATTTTCAGTCTCCTCCCTTCCATTCTGTCTCTTCTGCCCATCTAAGATAAGGTGTGTGCTAATTTTATTTGCCAGTAGGGAAGAATTCTCTCTTCAAGTGATTGACAGTTTTTGTTACAGCATTTTCAACACAGGTGGGAAAATGTGACGTGCACGCAGTTGTTTTTCTTCACAGTAGCTCTTGCATGTTTTCGTGCAGCAGCTGTGATTAAAAAGCAGAAGTTTACTATCAACTCACTGCTGTTTTTAACTTGTTTGCAACTTGAGCCCCACTTATCTTTTACCTTCCACTGTTCCCACTCTCTCCCACTTGCTCTTATAATGTTGTTTTTTTGTTCACCCACATGCAGCCTGACGAGCTGACCAATGTTCTGGAGATCTGCAATATCGTCTTCACCAGCATGTTCACACTGGAGATGATCCTAAAGCTCACTGCTTTTGGTTTCTTTGAGTACCTGAGGAACCCCTATAACATCTTTGATGGTATCATTGTCATCATCAGGTCTGTATATTCTGCAAAACAATTTGCTAAATTCTGAGTAAGTCAGTTAAATCATCGACTTGTCATTGTAACGTTAAAACAAAGCCTCTCCCAAAACCAAATCCAGAGCCTGACATATGTGGCTCCACTAAATGTTAGTGAAAGCTCCAATCAAAATATTCCCTCATCCTCTGGTAGCTGTTCCAATAAGAATTTGATGTATTCCCCATCGTGGTTTGTACTTGCCTACACTATATCTTTTATGTGATAAATTTTTAATATAGGAGCTGTCTAGCAGCACAGAGCAGCAGTGTTCCCTATCACACCAGTATACATTATGTCCCTATGGTTATGGACAGGATTTCTGTCTCTTGAACTGTGTAATAGTGTGTTTTTCTTTAGTATAACTGGTGACTTTTTGTCATATTTAATCTTCCTTTCTTTCTCCTAACTCCAATTTTTTGTTTTTGATCTCTGCATTTCTCTTAATTATAACAATTTGTGACCAAATTCTACATTTTTTAACAATTTCTCCACAACCTTTCAACCCTCTCACTTTCTCTCTGTCTCACTCTGGTATTCACATATGTGCATATCCACGTAACTCGCCACACACCCTAGTGTGTGTGAGATCATCGGCCAGGCAGACGGCGGTCTGTCAGTGCTGAGGACCTTCAGGCTGCTGAGGGTCATCAAGCTGGTGAGGTTCATGCCTGCACTGAGGCGGCAGCTGGTGGTGCTGATGAAGACCATGGACAATGTGGCCACCTTCTGTATGCTGCTCATGCTCTTCATCTTCATCTTCAGGTAACAGAGAGGCAGAGGGGGCTGTATCAATTGTACATGGAATATAGCAGAAATAAAAAGGACACTGCCAAGACAGAGAGGGGAGCAAAGTGTAAATTAGAATGTGTGGAGTTGTGGTGTGTATCTGCTTGTATGTCTCTCTGTGACTGCATGGACTCTATATACTCTATGTAATACCGTATGTGTACTGTGCAGTACTGGACCTGATAGATTAACAGCTTTTTTTGAAGACAAAAATATCTAGACAAAAATAAATTAGTCTCAAATTCCAACACCATAATGATAAATACATTTAATTCTTTCTTTAGTTTTGACATAAATAAGATAACATAAAGAATCATTCCGCTAAAAATCAAAGTGATGGACAGGATGAGTCGCCCTAATATTTTTCAAAATTATTCTTTAAATTGCCAAACTGTCAAAGAGAAAATGTTCATTGTACCTAAATGAATGCAGATGCTGAAAACTGTAATTTACAGGAACATAATCAAAGAGCCTAATCTCTCCTCTTGTTAACCTCCCCCAGGATGCACACACATCCACACTGCTGCTCTGTTTTCCCTTCTATTCCTCCTCTGCGTGCAATATCCAAAGATGATGACAATATTAACAGAATTATTGTTATTTGAATAATTTATTGTAATTGTTTGAAGTGCAAATCAGGGTTTTGCAGCGTAATGCTATTACAACAGCCTGGCTCGTACTGTATCTTTATGTACGCACGTGTGTGGCCTTGTGTGTGTGTGTGTATGTATGTGTACCTTTTTTTTAAACACTGCAGCACAGCAATCAAAGCTAAGTGTGACGAGACAGATGGCATCAGAGCTTTTAGCCAACTAATTTGGCCCATCCATCTAGCCACTGTAGCTTTTAGGGAGCAGTTAATGCACAGTGCCACTTAACTAATACTTTAACTTCTAAAACCTCTCTGGTGTTGTTCAGACAAATGACGATATGAACGACATTGTCTGGGTTTACAGTCTTGTGAGGGAGGAACATGACTAGAAGATTGTAATCATTTTGTATATGTGGGAACCTCTGTGTGTATCTTAATCTGAATGTACAGTATACGTGTATGTCCAAAGTCTGTGATCAGAAACTGTACTGAAGTGAAATTCCTTGTGGGTTCAACATACTTTGGCCAATAGAGTTGATGCTGATTCTGATTATTTTGACAGCAAGTGTGGGTGAATTATTTGGTAAAACCTCTTGTGTTGCAGTATCCTCGGGATGCACATATTTGGCTGTAAGTTCAGTCTTAAGACACAGGCAGGAGACACTGTGCCTGACAGGAAGAACTTTGACTCCCTGCTCTGGGCCATTGTCACTGTCTTTCAGGTAGCACACACACACACACATCTACACACTTTGGTCACTTGAGATTATGCATGTGCACATTGTTGTACATGTATCCACCTTTGTGTGTGTGTGTGCTCTACTCTGTGTGCATATTTGCTGTAGATTCTGACTCAGGAGGACTGGAACATGGTGCTATACAATGGCATGGCCTCCACCTCGCCCTGTGCTGCCCTCTATTTCGTCGCTCTTATGACGTTTGGAAACTATGTGCTCTTCAATTTACTGGTTGCCATCTTGGTTGAGGGTTTCCAAGCTGAGGTAGGACTTTGGTTTAGTTTGTTGGCCATAAAAACGGTTCTATTTAAATTAGCATGTGATTGATTTTTATTTCTACACTTTACTCTTTCTCCCACTCCCTGCTTCTGAGCCTTCTCTCATCTCATGTCTTCTGTTCCCTTATGCCTCTGTCTCTCTCTCTCTTTGTCATTCAATATCCCTCTCTGATACAGGGCGATGCAAACCGCTC